GAATATTCGAATATTCGTTGGGAGGGATGGCATTCGAGTTTTCATTTTGAGATTTGAATATTCGGGGGGGGGGGGGGCACACCCCAAAAGGCCTATAAAGACCTAGAGCCGACCCCTAGAGTTCGAGCGTCTTCTTGTACATGCTGAATGTATGTCGGATGTTTGCTCCCTGATTATAATCAGAATAGCTCCCTGGTTATAATCAGAATAAACTGGTGACTTGCAACCACTCCTCGACTGTACAGCGAATCTCTTCTCATCAACGGACCCGGCGGAGTTCTGACTCCAACAATACACCGAAGTAGTTCTTGCTTGTTCATTGGCGTGGGAAAAGGCGGTTCTAGTGTTATTAGGAGGGTAATAAGCGTTACCTGCAAGATCGCTACTTGACATCACATCTTTTAATTCTCATCCTTGCATTAGAATATAGACCAGTTAATACTGATGGTATCTCATGCTGCGTCATATGTTTTAAAATTACTACACACTTAATATTGAAATGAAGCTTGACATAAAAAAATAAATCGCAAATCAAATCATAATCGCAATTACTGTCAATCGCAATTCGATATTTTCCCCAAATCGTGCAGCCCTAGTAACAGCCATGTATGAAGATCAAGTTGACCTTGCAGAATATACAGAGATTATTACCAGCTACATTCGCAAGTGCACAAATGATGTCACTGAACAGAAGTTTGTCACTATGAGGACCAACCAGAAGCCCCGGTATACAGCGGAAGTCCACATTAGGCTAAAAGCATGAAACCGTCTGGGGACCCTGTGGCCCTAAGTACGCCAGAGACACATGACATACTGTATGTGGCAAGAAATACAGGCCCACATGGATTAAAAGACCACCACACATACTACAGATTATGAGACCTGACTCTTGGACACGCTTACCCAGTTTTTCACCCAGTTTGATGTGGTGCACAACAGGCCAGCAGAAGTGATGAACATTCTACATAATGTGAACCCAAGTTAGACAGTATTCCAGGATGGGCTCTTAGGAACTATGCCCATGAATGCACAGATGTCCTGACAGATATCTTTAGCATCTTGCTCAGTCAAGCATGCATCCCCCAAGTACCTAAAGTACAATTGCCACAATACTGCCAATCTTCTGCACTACTGAGAATATCCTCACACACTGCATCACAGCCTAGGCACGTTTTTCCTGGGAGCATATTTTCTGACAGCATCCAGTTGAATTTCCTGCTTAAAAAGGAGTCAGAACTTGTACATGTTGAGATCATCCAAATCAGATTCATAAACAAGATACAAGCTAAAATAATGAAAGGATGGAAACAATATAGTCATCTGTGTAATCTACTGTATGCGAGATTGCTTTAAAGAATGACTAAAATAAAGACTTGAAGAGGAAGTATCTTTTTACCCATGAGATTTCAGTGGAACATTCTAGTCATCTATACAACAGATTAAGGTGGAGTCAGAAAGCAAGCTCCTTTTTATAAAGCAATATGTTCTCATTCTGAACCAGGTACAATCTGTGCTCAACCTGCATTTTTAGTGCTGTTCACAGAGCTCAGAGAAAAAAGGTAAGAATGTGCTTCAGTGATGAACAAATGAAAAACATTTGCAATGTTTGTAAACACAGACATGATAAAACTATAACTTTACACTATTGATATTTAAACAATTTCAGCTTAAGTATAAAAGTATATCCTTTTGTGGTTTATAAGTAGGTTGCATGAGTATTCTAAGATTAAAGAAAATATTCTGAAACAGTTTCTAATGATATTTAAATGAAAAATTTACTTAGAAATATATAAAATAAAATGATTTGTATATAGCTCTGATTTAGTTTCAGCTTTTTTGTTTTTAACTGAATGTGCATTTCCTGCTTTTTGCTGCAAAGAAAGTGACATTTTATGCTGAAGGCAAATGTTTACTATATAACAGGTGTCAGTTCCTATGCCTGGATGTGACAGCCAGTTATAACTATGGTAAAGGATAATAACCTACCTGCACCAGGCTACTAGACATTCTTTAATGATGTTTAGTGTGAAGTTGAAAAGGCTTGAAGATTAAAGAGGACAAAACATTTGTAGCAGGCACTCTACAAAAGATGCATTTGTATGAATTACTTATGACCATGAGATTTACATTTAACCTTCCTATGGTGTTAGGGTCAGCACTGACCCGTTTGTAAGTTTTAAATGCATAAAAGCACCACATAAATTTGTGTACTGCATCAAGGCTTTTTGACTTGTCAGGAACCTCTATTTAAACAAAAAAAAATCACTAAATTATAAATGCTCTGGTCAACATTATAACAGCTCTGGTGTTGGGGTCGGCACTGACCCCTTTATAAGTTTAAAATGCATAAAAGCACCACATAAATTTGTGTACTGCATCAGGAAAATCTATTTTAAAAAAATTTAATACATAAAAAAAAAATCACTAGGCAAGGCATGCTCAGACATGTAAGGCAAGATAAGATCAATTCAGTTTGTTTATTTAATTCACTTGAGGCTTATTTTTTATTTTTTATTGAAAACGAGAGGTATGCTGTCAAAAGAAAGGTCCAGAAAGCCACACCAAATATATTAAAACCAATCTTTTCATGGATAAGGAAGCCTAACAAGGTAACGAAGAGGTAAGAAACAAATTGGATGATAAATAATTGTTCTGAAGGTATTTTATGGCTGATTTAAGACACGGGTTGGTAGCTTGTTTAATGTCAAACAAAACCAGCATCATTTGTGTGTCTCAGATATCGACCTCAAATGCCGGGTACAAGAAAATTTTATGTTTCATACAAATGTTGTTTTCATTGTTTTTCAGTGTCATTGGGTAGAAGAAATATGGATTTTCTTGGAAGATTGTTTCTGTATTCTGCATGTTTACAAGGTAATCCTGATGGACTCCATGCTCAGAGCTTATATCCTTCTCTATTAACTCTCACAAAACTCATGTTACAAATTAACAACATTTCATCAATGTTTTTAAAAATATTTATTTATTTTACAAATATGTATTTAATGGTCTTTTCTTTTCTGAACAGCTTTCTGTTCTCCTGTCTTTTCTGCTGAATGGGAAGCAGAAGTTCTGGCAAACATAAATGCTCTGACAGGATCGTGTGTGGTGGTACCCTGTCGCTTTCGATACCCCGGTGGCCAAAAACCCTCTTCCAGACTAAGTGGCCTTTGGCATCTTCACCAGAAGGAAGAGAATTTAAATACTAAACAGTACATTTTAGCTGCTGAAGTATCAAAAGTTATTGACAGTTTTAAAGACCGCACAAGACTTCTGGGAAAGCTTGGCGATGATAACTGTACTTTAGAGATTGATGGAGTTAAAGACCATGATAATGGTCCATTTTGCTTCAGGATTGAAATTCCTGATCAAGATAATTTTTCCTTACGAGAAGGATGTGTATCGATCAGATCCTTTGGTAAGTTTATTTGTCTTATGTACCCCAACGTGTATAATAAGTAGTCACAATTGAATATATTATATTGTGAAAGACTCATTGAAACAACTTTTAAAAAAAAATCTTTTTTAATTATATTCCATACAGACACTCCAGAAAAGCCAAAACTAACTTATAAAGAAAAATCATATGAAGGGCGACCCTACACCATCACCTGCTCTGTTACTCACACTTGCCCTTCTCACATGCCCGTCCTCACCTGGAGCTGGCCCTTCGACAATGAGAATATTATCCATTACAATAACCATAAACCCGGAATTTGGGAAGTTCAATCTATCCTGAGCTTTATTCCAAATGCACGTCATGATGACAGTGACATCACTTGTACAGCAAAATTCCACGGAGGGAAAAGCTCAGAAAGCAAAATGAGCCTGCGTGTAAAACGTAAGATGGGCTTTACACTTTACTCTTTAATCTTTACTATAATTGATAACACATTGAAATCAAACCCATTGTAAGTGTAGAGTGTACAATCAGGCATAATAGCTGTTTGCTGTGTTAAAAGTAATATTTATGGTTCTGTATTTCTTCTGAGACACAGTGGATATTTGCGGTATATATTCTGGTGTATATTCTATACTGCAAGTAAGATTAGTTTATATGTTTTTATATATATCACAATTTTTGACGTGACATATTAACATATTTTGTGCTGTTTTGCTGATGATTTTTGCTCCAGACTCCACAGTGGACATGCTCCATATCATTATCCCTGTTTCGGTTGTCGCGGTAACAGCAGTCCTTTTTGGGGGACTCTGCTTTTTAATGAGGAAAAAATACATGTAAGTCAATTTCGTTAAGAGTATGAAAATGAAAAGTAACGTTTTAATCACAAGGGCTTGAATACTTTGGCATAGACTGACAAAGAATATTTACATGCATTGTGCTATTGTATTTTTTTTATTCCACTGATACTGGTGGCTGTTACTAGGAGACGTATTGAGTCACTTCAAAATCGAGGTGGTTTTGGGTAAGTATATACAGTTTAATATTCTTAACCTCACAGACGCCAAGTCACACAGTTTTTAGCCTATGTTATCTTACAACTGTTGGTGTGGCCCCAAATGAATCAACAACAAAATGATAATGTGCTGTAGTGTGGACATGAACCCCCCCCACAATTCAATTCAAATGTATCTTTTATGTTTGGAACTAAAATCTGCAACATGACATGATTTTCATTTTTTTTTTTTTGACCAGCATGTCCATGTGGAACCGTATTTCACGACTATCTCGCAGGTCAGCCTCCGCACATACATATATACATACAGTGGACACAAAAAGTCTACATAAATGAGACCATAGATAAATCATTTCTAAACTTTTCCCTCCTTTAATGTGACCTATAACCTGTACAATTCAATTGAAAAACAAGCAAATCTGTTAGGGGAAAAAATATAAAAAATAAAACGCACAGTAAACTGGTTGCATAAGTGTGCACAAAATACCCTCAAAAATACATTTTGATTTAATTTCAGCATTCAGTATTTTTAGGTAGGAGTCTATCAGCATGCCACATCTTGAATCTGGCAATATCTGCCCACTCTTCCTTGCAAAAGCGCTCCAAATCTGTCAGATTGTGACGGCATCTATTGTGCACAGCCCATTAGGTCTGGGTTCTGGCTGGGTCATCCCAAAACTTAATTTTTCTTCTGATGAAGCCATTCTCTTGTTGATTTTGAGGTATCCTTGGGGTCATTGTTGTGCTAAAACATGAAATTCATCTTCAGCGTTCTAGCAAACACCTGAAGGTTTTGGGCCAAAATTGACTGGTATTTGGAACTGTTAATAATTCCCTCCACTTTGACTAAAGTCCCAGTTCCAGCTGAAGAAAAACAGCCCCAAAGCATGATGCTCCACCACTGTGCTTCACCATGGGTGTTCTTTTGGTAATGCGGAGTGTTGTTTTTGCACCAAACATATGTTTTGGGTACAGCCCCAGTGACAAGCAAAGGTACAAATTTTTACTCTTTTTCTGAGAGTGAATAGAGAATGGGGGAGATTATTGTCACATGTAGTACACAATCAGTTTGTTGTCCCATATTTTCTGCACTTCTTGATGACCGTCTTCATTGTCTTCTTCCTTCTCCTGACTGATACCTTTCAACAATATGATCTATTTGATGCTTTGTAAGCTCTCTGCGAAACATGGCTTTTGCTGTAGGACGCAACTGAGTAAATGTCAGGAAAATCCTGCTACAACAGCAGATCTTTATTTGGGGTTAATCAGAGTCAATTTAATTGATGGCAGGTGTGTACCCAAAAAGACTGAATGCTGTAATTAAATCAAAACAACGTTAAACAACAAAGTATGTTTAACTGTGCGCACACTTATGCAACCAGCATATTGTATGCTTTTTATTTTTTCACGCTAACAGTTTTGTTTGTTTTTCAACTGAATTGTACAGCTTATATGTAGGTCACATTAAAGGTGGGAAAAGTTTAGAAATTATGTATTGTGGTCTCATCTTTTTACATCACAAAAATCTGGTATTTTAACAGGGGTATTTTTATATGCACTGTGTAATATATGTGTGTGTGTGTGTGTGTGTATAAAATCAGTCATGTCATCTGTCTTTGCATTCATCGATGGTCATAATCCAGAAGACACCCTGGCCAGTCTCCGGATGCACAACGTCATGACAGGAGGCAAGTGCATGAAATCAACTTCAGTGTTTTTTGTTTCATCATCAAAAAACTGAGCTAATGTATTTTTTCATTTTTGAAGGTCATTTTGGAGCAGATTTTCCAGGTAACAGACAGTGTTTTTCTGGAATTAAGTGCCCTAATGTTTTATTTTGCTTTCTCAATATCTCATGTTTTGAATAAGCAGAAATGCAAAGTAATTTTAGTTCTTTATTAAGCTCGACCTTCTTATGGCCCATGACAGTTTGAACCATTTTTTCAAAGACTTTGTTTGTGCTTTTAGAAGAGCAAATATGACTTCAATGGACATAAATGAAGCCCACAGGTAGATCTTTCAATGCCATGTGGAAGTTAACAATAGACTCTAGTTTTATTTTAGAACATTTTTAATTTTTAATGTTAAGTGGTGCTCTTTTTCAAAGAACGAATAATGACTCTGCAGGATGGGGTGCCTCAAAACCACGCCTTCCGTCTCCTAAAAGGTACATCGATTTACTATTATCATTAATATATATTAATAATAAAAAAATGTATGTAATAATATGTAATTATTTTTATTTTGAATGGGGAAGCTTCAGTAAGACCGCTTAACACATATAATCATCTTTATCTATCAACATAAAATTCATCCTGTTTTTCTTAGTAACCACAAACCAGCCTATGAAAGTAAAAATAAAGACTTTGATGAGGTATGTATTTCTCTCTCTTTGTCAATTCCTTTGGATCATTTTTGATCAAGGCCAAACTAGAAAGAACATAATGTTACACAGGAATAAGGAATCTCTAATTTAATTCATATTACTGTATACCGCACCATTGCTGAATTCTCTAATCTTTCTCTATGGTGTTCAAGTTTCAATATGTCATGTTTAAATGTCTTGCATACTCATATTTATTGCTGTTTCTTAATTCTTCATCTCAGTGTATGACCCATACATCATATAGTTGAAGATACTTTGATTCCATATCCTTCATCCTTGATAACTGAAGAAAAAACATTGCTAGTTGTCTTCTGAATAAGTATGTGACAAGTTTTGATTGGCTGTTAGAAATCCAAAGCTCATGATTGCTAATTCGACTGTTCTACAGCATGAATGTCTGGTTTACAATGTGAGGGAAGATTGGTAATATACATTGTATCTTTTATGTCCCCAGTCTAACTTTGACATTTATGGGAACGTGTAACTCATACATGATGTTCAGGCTGAAGAAAAGAGCTGCAGACTACATATTTTCTTCCTGATTTGTCTTTAAACTTATAGATTATAGGCTTTGCTATGAATAAAAACCAAACCTAGAATAATTAACCAAAGTCAATAAGAACAGATTCTTGTTTTTTTTCCCCCCAATATTTTGGTGACTATATAAAATGAAAGGATTATTAATAGCGTTTCAAGCTTGATATTGCAAATTGTGTGCTTAGGCTAATATTCTGTTAGATCTTTTGTATTTCTTGAAATTGTGTACAGGTTGGAAGATGAATTCTTTGCTGTTTTACATGAAAATAAAACAAATGTCAGGAAAATGTACCTTTTGCTTAAAATGTGTGCTGTCATCCTGCAGTTTGAGGATGTTTCACTATAGAAAATGGACTTATTTAGTGGTGCTATTTTGATTAATGAACATTGCAGTGATTGCAGTGAGTTTCTTGGGCTTCATCTAAATTTATCATACAGCAAATGTGTTTTTTTTGCATTAAATGTTGAATTACAACTTTTGTTCATTGTACTACTGCATGGTAAAACATTTTGTCTGAATGATGGCTTGGTTTTTTGAGAGTAGTGTAGTGCAACAACAAAAGAGGTAAATAAGCAGGCACGTGCACACATAGAGATCAAAGGGGGCTTGAGCACCTGCCCTTTTTATTCCTGGAGAGAAAGTGCCCTTTTTTCTGG